AACCCAATTGGAAGTTTTGATTAAAAAATAAATCCAAGTAGATGTTAAGAAACAACCAAAACATTCCACTGACCAAATCAATATAAAAGAAATAACCAGCCCTTCTCACACGCTCATTGACTTGAAAGTCTCCTGGACCCGACCCTTCCGTGAGAATTAATTTTATGATCTCTACTTTTATAAGCCAGCAAACTTGACTTTTGTACAAGAAAACTCCAGTCCTCAAGTTATGGTGGGGTCATCGTGTTGCATTTTCCTAGCTAGTCCAATCTTACTACTCTTTCACATGCGTTCTCATTAAGTCATTAGTAGTAACATTCATGTCCAACTCCACCAAGTGATTCGAGGATCGTGCATCTCATTAAGATTGGTGTACTGTTTATCTAATTTAAAAATTGAATCTTTAATTGTTAATATTTAATAATATTAATCTATCAATTATTATTTTTATTAACAAAAAAAAAAACAAAACAAAACATTCATATCGTAACAACGATTCAGTAATTAATTTTTAACTAAAATTTTATCTTAAATTAATAGTTATTATTTTTTTTATTTTTTATAAAATAAGCAAATATTTTTTTGCATGTCTTAACTTATTATCATCACTTAATTTTAATTAATAATTTTATTGTTAAAATTTTTTATTTATTCTTTTTTTCTAATACTATAAGTTTATAACTTTAATATAAAAATAAAAAAATTAAATATTATTATAAAACGAAAATTCAAACTACTAAAAATCTCCTAGATTATATTGAACCCCTTCCATGGGGACATTTTTCAAATGAAAAAATTAAAAAAAAAAATTCAGCTTAACAGTTAATACCCTCCTTTATAACCCTTCCACGCTGTGTACATGAATATTTGCATCCTAGTTTCCTCCCACCTTTGAATCAGAAATTAGAAACATATTATAAACCATGATGAGGCCTGGGGATCCTGATCATCATGAATTCATGAGGCCGGACCTGTATAATCCACCATGCACAGGGATGAAGCACATGACCTTCTTCTGGAGCAATAACGCCGAGATTCTCTTTTCCGGCTGGCCCGGCACTAGCCCTTCCATGTACTTACTAGCTCTGATTGTCGTCTTTGTGCTAGCTTTCTCTGTCGAGTGGCTCTCTCACTGCCGGGTCATGAAGCCCGGCCCCACCAATCTGTCTGCCGGTATGGTTCAGACCCTTGTGCACTTGCTGAGGATGGGTCTCGCGTATCTTGTTATGCTGGCCATCATGTCCTTCAACGTTGGTGTGTTACTGGTGGCGGTGGCCGGCCATACTCTGGGATTTATGCTCTTTGGCAGCAGAATTTTCAAGAAACCATCATCGCCGCCCCTGGCTACAACAAAAACGTCCGATCTTCCTCCTTCTGCTTGTTAAATATTGGGTGGAAGTATAATTTAATAATTAAATTACATATATAATTAAGCTTTATTTTCTTTTAATGCCTTCTCTTGGATTTTGTTAATTTGAATAATAATTTGTATTTCAGTGTGCTCGAATGATTTTTAATTTCAATGCGTATTGTGGGCTTAAACGTAAGATTTTCTTACTTATGTAGATGTGGTATGGTTATTGCTAATAAATAAATTTTTATATTATATAGTCAATAAATAAATAAAATTTTCTTAGTTAAAAGGAAAATATTAATATACCATTACATATATTCCCCCCTCCCCCCCCCAATTTTTAAGAAAATTCTTTTGTAATAATTTTTGAGAATATTTTGGAGAATATGGGTTTACACAACAAGAATGATTTCTCCTAGTTGGTAGTCACCCATTTTCCCCCAAATTTCTTTCGTCTGGTTTTCAAGATTAACTCAACCAATGAACCTAATATTGCAACTTATTAATTTAAGGTTAAACTCTAGATTTGGTCTCTCAACTATTATATGGATTCTTGAATTAGACTTTAAACTAAAAAAATCTTTAATTTGATTCTTGAAGTTTTCAAATTTAAATCTAACTTGGTTCTTTCATTAAAAAAGCAAAACTATCCATTACTTAATAACATAAGGCCGTTATTTGATGACCATTTAACTCTAAATTTGGTCACATTAGTAATAGAATACATTAGCTGTTTTTTACTAGAGGAACCAACTTAGAACCAAATTTAGAAATTTTAGTGACCAAAACAAAGACTTTTTTAGTTTAAAAACTAACTCAGGAGTTTATATAATTGTAGAGGGACCAAATTAAGGGTTTAACCTTAATTTAAAATAAGATTATAACTCTAAATATATGATATATTAGCATCAACGTACATGTGTAAGCTAACTCAATGATACTATTGCTCAAAATCCCCAAAGGATATTTACAAGTTACGCCTGAGCATTGCCAAGAACTGCATCATCTAAAAATCTGTTGTAATCTAAAATTGTTAATCACTATTTGCATAAACAACCTCCTTGCCTCTCCTTGACTTAGTAATTAACCCCCTAGTGACACAGAGAACACTGTGATTGCATTGATCAAGTTCAAATCTTTTACATGGATAAGGGCAAAGCTATGGCATAGGCTAAATTATGATAATTAACTGGTAAAATTCCCCCAAGCAGGTTCTCTTGTAATGGATGGGTTCTTCTTGTGACAGGTACACA